CTCATAAGTCACTTTAGATATCATTAAGCCATTACCAAACATTCATGTATAGCTGACCGAATAAGTTGTAAGCCTCATTAAGCTGCTAACAAACAAGCCCTAAGTTGATTTAGAGGTTAGTGGTTCAATCTACTTGCTGCTTTCGCGGTTGGGGCGTTGTAATATTTAGAGTCTTACCCCCTCTCTTGCAGGCATTAAAACTTAAGTATCGTAAGTTGTAATTATACCGTCGTCTATCGTGGTTCTTTTGTAGTTGGAAACGAAACTGAACGATCTGATGAAGAAAGAACTCATCCAAGAATGATACGCATGCTAACGTTGAGCTGAAGAGTACTCGGATCGTGTGCGCGTTTTTGGGTTTGCAACGGCTCGTTTTATTCTTTTGAAAGTGTAAAATATATGTGAATATAAGGAAAGGGAGCCTTGGTAATTATGAGTTGTTAATGTTGTTGAGTTTCTTGGTATCTTTTTGCCAATTGTTGTTGTAATGACATTTCCCCTTAAATATTGAAATTATTATATACACAAGCATAAGTATGTCGTTTTTGACGGTGCGTCTGGTATGTATGACATGGCAGGTGGGTCAAGACAGTACCTGTTGTGTCACATTTGGTGATATATTTAGACCGTTGGACGTGACATGACCGGTTGAGACCAAAGGCGTTTTCACATGCTTAGTCCAATTTTGTCCACTTCACTATGGTCCAATTTGGTTTCTAGGATTTGGAATCAGTACTTATATTGAAATAGAATGGTCCAATTTGGAATCATTACTTATATTTGAAACGTCCTCTATATATATATATATATTATTTATTTTCTAAAATTAGGTCTTGACCAGAGACGAGAATCAATACGACTGTAATTGTACCATATTAATTGATATGGTTGGTACACATGTTTTATTTTAAGAAGTGGGATATATGCATCCTTATATATTGCTAAATTCATCCCCACCTATTAAGAGCATCTTCAATCGGAGGTTCCTATAAGAAAAAAATGAAAGTTTTTGTAAAAACTACTATTTTAAAGAGTTCTCACAAGAACCTTGGTTCTTGTTTTCAACCTAGTGTGAAATGACATTTTATTAAATTTTTTTATATATATTTTTTAATATTTTGACTTTATAACTATTATTATATATATATATATATATATATATATATATATGGTTGGGTTTATGTGAGACAAGACTGTTTTCATGAGACATGTGAGACAAGTTTTTTACACTTGAAACTTCATAGCAAAAAGCTGTGAAGGTAAAAAAAAGTTGAACTTTCACAACAAAAACACTGTAAAGATTACTTTCACAGAGTTTTGTTGTGAAGTTTTAAATGTAAAAAAGTTGTCTCATATGATTCCAAATATTACAAAGATATAAGGACAACAAACTTTTATATATGTTTTTAGTTTAATGAGTTGAAAGAGATATGATGATAAAAAGTAAAACAAGTTGTTTAAATTCGAGATGCTCCAATTTCCTCCTTAGACACATTATAGCATCAAATTTACATTTTACATTCTTAAACATGTGACTTTCTTTTCAAAGCATGTTGCTATATTCGAGATATATATATATATATATATATATATATATCTCAATAAATGCCATAGGTTGTATTTGAAACAAACTCTCTCTCTCTATATATATATAATATAGAGAGCGAGAGAATGTTTCAAATGCAACACATTACATTTGTACAATCAATGCAACCTAATTACTTGAGATATTTATAGAAATGGTGAGGGTTCATTTATTATGATTTGAATATTTATAAAAAATAACTAGAGTTAATTAATTATGATCAATACTTTATATTATGAAACAATCAAAACTTTTATGAGATCACATATTCATTAAATTAAATGAACGATTGAAATTGAGATATATTGATTATACAAATGTAACGGGTTGCATGATAACTCACTCCTATCTCAAAAAAAAAAAAATATATATATATATATATATATATTATATATATAATTTTCTTGTAATGCAAACAACCAAAAACCATGAAATGGGAAGAAGGTTCTAGAAGAAAAATGACGTGAAAAATGGAGGTTTGTGGTTTGACGCTTGTCTTCTTTGAATTTTATTTTGGTCGGCAACTTAGCAGCCGGGTCAAGTGTAACCCCAAGAACCAAGAACCTTCTTCTCGCTAAGCTACGAAAAGTAACACTATTTAAAGTTTATTAGAAGGGTACTCGTACAATGTAATGGGATACATCTCGATTTTAATATTTAGTTTTTTTTTTTTGTCTCAGTTGATGTTATAATACTGTTTTATGTGCTTTTGAAAAAGCATAATGTTTTCATTTTTAAATAAAATATAAATATGAAGATATGATAAAAAAAATTGACATTAATACCAAACTAACTATTTAAAATTTCTCTTTTTTTGTGTATTTCTTTAATTTTTGGTTTAATAATATAATTTTTTATAAAGATAATGATTAAATTTTTTGTTAGAAGTTAATGACTATCGTAATTATATTTTAGATTTTTTATAATTAAAATGAGATGTTTATCTTTTATTTAATTATGTTTATCGACAGTTAGTTACATGAAACTTTGATAATTTGTACTTACGCAAAATTTACTTGTAACATTGAATTTTGAGTAATATGCATCAATAAACAGTATTTCGTGCATAAAAAAATGGTTTTTAAGAGTTTTTGTCAAATACTTTATAATATAGTATAGATTAAAGGGTCGTTTACCAAAAAGATTATTTGGGTAAGTGTTACGGTAAAATTTAACACTATTACTTACTTAGCAGGTAAGATTTTAGTTCATCAAAATGAGATTATATGCAATAATTTACTCAGTAAGTGCTAACCGTAGTAAGAGTTATAAAACCCTTTGAATGATTTTGTATCATGAGTTTCCCTTAACCATTCAGCACTCTAATTTCATTGTAAACAAATATCAAATAATTATATTTCATTTTGCATTATATTCTCAAATATATTTCGTTTATGTTCGTTCGTTAACATGTTAAACGAACATAAACGAACGAACATAAACGAACGGACTAAACGAACATAAACGAAYGGRCTAAACGAACATAAATAAATATTATTTGAATTCAAAGTATATAAACAAAAGATTATATATTAAATTTAATATATAAACGAACATAAACGAACAAATATAAACGAACGTAAACGAACGGTAAATGAACGAACGTTCATGAACATAAATGAACGAACGAGACTCTTGTTCATGTTCGTTCGTTTAACTAAACGAACAAAAAAATTTGTTCATGTTCATTCGTTTATTAAATAAACGAACATAAACGAACTTCCCACCGAACGGTTCACGAACGGTTCGTTGAACGTTCGGTTCGTTTACAGCCCTATCCGTGACCACAAGGGGATTTTTGTTCCTTCTTTGATTCGACCCTGGAACCTCCAGACACTTTTGACCTTCCTCTGCTAAATGGCTCGTTTGAAGAGTAACTATGGGAATTCCACATATTCTCACATGTTATCAGAGTCAATGTCTTACCTATCTAGGGGCTCGATATTCATGGGTAACTTATACTTGTCTAGCCCTCTTTCAATACTTTGGGACAATCTAGCTCGTCTAGCCTCCATTGAATGGTATCCAGTTAATGTTTCAACAAATAACACCGAGTTGGATACCACATCACTCGTCACATTAGCATAGTTACCGGTTAATGTTTCAACCGGTTATTCGGGTACTTAAATTGTCTAAAAACTTTACATCTTGGGTACCAAAAAATAAAAGTTTTGAAAATACGTTACCCAAAATATGAATTAATTTGCAATTTACATTTTTTCTTTAAATTTTTAATTTTAATTTTAATTTTTTTTTGAAAAATGATTTCTGGAATAATAAAACCTTATCAACCAATAAAATAAAAGCATTTTTTTAAAGAAAATTATTGCCGTCAGAATTTTTTATTCCTCAAAATTAAATAAAAAACCTAAACAAATATGTACGTTTCATGTGGGCCATAGGGGAAGGTAGACAACGTATGGTGTGGAGATCATTTTGCCACGTGTCCATTTTTTTTTTTCCACTTTCACGTGGCTTTTGACTTGTTAATTTTATTTATTTTAATTAATTATTAATCATTTCTACCTTAATTTATTCTCATGTATAATTTTAATATAATAAAAAATATATGTAAAGAATTTTTAAATAATATTATATTGATTTAAATAGATTTATTATTTTACCAATTTCATTAAATATTTTAAAAATTGTGATCTTAATACCTTTTAAGAAATTAAAGAATTTTTTAAGTTTTATCTGTTCTATTTTATGTACACAATTACAGATAATCTGTAGAGAAGATATTATATCATCAAAATCTCAGTTTTATCTGTCTAAGAGAATCTAATGGTATACTCTAATTTATCAGATGATAATTTTTTTACTCATTATTAAAGCTAAATTTTTTATTTGAAAAGTACAATAACTGCACATCTTTAAAACTACGAGGCTGTTGAACAGTTGCTGAATGGTTCAATACAGAATGAATAAGTGGTCATAATGATTAAGAGGCTCTCATGATATAATACAAAATGAAATATAATTGTTTGATAATTGTTTACACTAAAATTAGGGTGTTGAATGGTTAAAGTAGACTCATAATACAAAATCATTCAGAGGGTTTTAGATCCATTAAGAGACAGACTTTCTTTTGTCAAACAAGATTCACCTCTTGACGGTTCAGAGACTATCTCTTAATGAAACTATTAAGAGGTAAACAAACTATTAAAAGCAACCATTTTTTCAAAAAGAAAAGGATGAATTATTTACATTCCATTTGATGATCAGAGAAAAATTAAAAGTTAAATAATAATAATTTTATAGATTTTAAAAGGGAAAAAGGGGTAAATTGTATGAAAAAAATAATGTACTTTAACTTGATTCATATTTTGGGTAACGTAGTTTCAAAACCTTCATTTTTGTACCTAAGATGTAAAGTTATAAACATTTAAGTATCCGGATAACCGGTTGAAACATTAACCGGTTACCATGCTGATGTGACAAATGATGTGATATCTAACTCAGTATTATTTGCTATCCAACCCAATTTCATCACATCATTAGCCACATCAGCATGGTAACCGGTTATCTGGATACTTAAATGTTTAAAACTTTACATCTTAGGTACCAAAATTGAAGTTCTAAAAGTACATTACTTAAAATAGAAATCAAGTTAAAGTACGTTATTTTTTCATATAATTTACCCTTTATTAATTATAGAAATACAGTATTATAGAAAAGGCAGAATTATTTCAAGCACCGATAAAATTAAAACAGTCATTTAAAAAAAAAGAAAGGGATGGATTATTTACATTCCATTTGATAAAGTCAAGCACTGTATAATTGTAAAGATTTTAAGGGGAAAAATAGTAATATTTTGTGGGTCCCACTAATTTTTCATTTAAATAATCAACAAATTAGATTTTAAAATCAATTTATTATTGTTTTTTAAAATAATAATAATAAATGTACAAACATTTCTAAATCATGGTGGACTTATC